CGGGTCTCGAGCAGCGGGCTCAGGCAATCCACTCACCTCAGCCTCCCAAGGCGCGGGATTATAGGCTGAGCCACCGAGCCCAGCTTGAAAAGACATTCTTTATGATAAAATGGAGAAGAAGGAGCCACCTTTCACAAGGAATGTTTTTGTAATACAGTCAATTTCTCTACAGAGGGAAGTAATCTCAGATTTCTTCTGAGATTACAACTATACTCTTCTTTATTTCTGCCCAAGACAAAAGCAACAAATCACTAGGAACTACCTATGAAAATATGTCTTACATTCAACAAACACTAACTGCTCTTTAATATAGGCTCTCCCTAAATTTTCTAATAAACACCCTATCTCTTTAACTGGTACGCAACTTCTAAAGAGGAGACCATCATGAAATTAAATACATTTAAGCTAATATGACATAATGGGAAAAAGCATAAGCAAGAATCCTACGTTATTAGTGGTTAGTGTAAGCTGGCACAAAGGGTAAGTGGCAAGAATACTGGCCCAGCAGTCAGCAGTGCCGGGTGACAGGCCCAGCTCTGCCTTTGTGTGTGCCTTTGAACTTTGGGCAAGTCTCTTGGACTTCAGTAAAATCATGTCAAATGAACACGATGACCTCAAAGATTTATTTTAGCACTAAGATTCTATATTGACAACTGGATTTTCTGACTACGTACAGACCAGGATGAATAAATCAAAATACTGTGGAAATAAAACACAGCAAAAGAAAAGCTGTTTGAAACAGAATCACCTCTGCACTTCGGGAAAATGCTTACATAAAGGGAATTTATATATTTATTACATTTCCTCTTTGGAAGAAAAGCAATTTGCTATCTGGCACAATCCTTGCCCCAACTCATTAGAGAGGCAAATGATCAGTTTTGCATGTTAACAGTATAGAATTATTCATGTTAGCACACAGCAGCACAAAAAGGTACCAAGCACACAAGGAGGCAGAGAGAAAAATGGAGAGGCTGAGTTCACATCACAAGGTCATGTGAGGCATTCTAGAGCTACATGCACTCACACAGGTGTATCATTCAAGTAAAACCAAAGACAAGACTGGGGAACATCTGGGAAAGCACTTTCAGGTAAAGAACATACCAGGCAGCGCTCAGAGAAGGATTTTTTGGGAAGTCGTGCAGGAGGAGGTGGACCCTGATCCCACTCCCAGAATGCCATGGAGTTCTGACAGACCAAAAGTTCCCCGGAAGGCTAAGAGGATGGAGAAGTGCCAATAACAGAAAAGCAAAAAAGAAAAAGATAGGGAGAAAGAGACAAACAGAACAAGCATGCATATGATAAAATAGCAAAAGGGATAGAAGAAAATACAGTAGCAAAAAAAAGCACTAAACAGGGAATGTTGGTTCTTAAGAAAATGCTTAAAATCATATATGTATGAACATACTAACGAAAAAACTACAGATGTTTGGAATGATGTTTTCTGCTTTATTTCTATACATTTGAGTCTAGAAAATAGTGAACAAGTCTGAGTGCATTTTTCTTCTGATAATAAGAAATAATCAAAACTTAATTATTCAAATGTATAACTATGGTCTTATTTTCAAACAGTACAAATAAAGCATAAGGATCTTAATTTCAAGACAGTTTTTTATTTTTATTTTTTTTGAGTTGGTGTCTCACTGAGTCACCCAGGCTGGAGGGCAGTGGCACGCTCTTGGCCACCGCAGCCTCAACCTGCTGGGTTCCTGCCATCCTTCTACCTCAGCCTTCCAAGTAGGCTGAACTACAGGTGCGAGTTACCATGCCTGGCTAATTTTTTTTTTTTTTTTTACTTACTGTAGAGATGAGGTCTCACCAAGTTGCCGGAGGGCTTGAACCCGCGGGCTCAGGTAATCTTCTTGCCTTGGCTCCCCAAAGTGCTGGGATTACAGGCTGAGCTACTGAGCCCGGCCTCAAAATAGTTTAAACACTTAAAAATGGTGCAAGCCAAGAACAAAACACAGGCTGATACACTTTTACTTACTATAATTAAATTACGCTTGAAACTTAGAAATGTCTATGCTTCTTGTAAGTTTTTCTCCCTACAGGAGACATATTGACTAAAAATTGATCCTACATTTATCCTTTACTTGACATAGTACACAGAAAGACTTGTTTTAGAGTCTTATTTTAGATTTACTGCAATTCTAAAAATGGACGAAAAAGGTGTTTTCTGCTGTAAATCAGCATAAAAGAATTACTATTTTAACATATAACTGATACATCTTTTAAAAGAACATGAAAAAACCTACACAATGACACCTGCTGGAAGGACTAAACCTGGTTCAGGGCTCTAGTTTCGAGGCCCAGGGCAGTAGCCCACATACCTCCCTCAAGTCGTTGTCCAGGCCCACGTGCTCTGAATGCTGGCGAAGGCGTTCTTTTCTGCGTTGAGCAGTGGCACTCCGACTTATCCAGCGACTGAAACAATCAAATTTTTAGAAGATGTGGTCCTTATCTTTAAGATTAAAAGAATTAACTGTTCAACCCAAGAGAGTAATGATATCTATTTTTCAATTAATTCCTTAAAAAATATATAACAGCTTTATTAATATATAATTAAAACACCGTAAGATTCACCTATTTAAAGCATACAACCAGCCGGGTCTTGAACCCGTGGGCTCAGGCAATCCAATCACCTCAGCCTCCCAAAGCGCTGGGATTACAGGCAGAGCCACAGAGCCCAGCCAGTTATTTTAAAGAAAGGGTTATATCAAGAAAAAAATGTGCAAAGATCTAGATATAGATCTTTGAAGTAGAATCCTTGGAAAGGATTATACAGCAAAGGATCCAATGTAAGACTATAAAAAGGACACAGAGAATTGGGCTGAGTGAAATGCATAATCTACAAAAAACACATTAAGATTCTAAAACAGAATATGATCACCAGCTGATGACTTATGTAATAAACAAAGGGGAGGAGCAGAATATAAATAACAACCAAAATGACTAAGACCTAGGTGCAGATCTTTGACATGGAGGCCTTGCAAACAGTCCTGCAGCAAAAAAACAGTGTAACACAATAAAGTCTGCTCAGTGATTTAAAAAATCAGCATTAGCCAGGTTCAGTGGCTCAGCCTGTAATCCCATGCTTTGGGAGGTTGAGGTGAGTGGATTGCCTGAGCCCACGGGCTCGAGACCCACCGGGCAACTTGGCGAGCTGTTATCTCTACAATAAATCAAAAAACAAAACAAAACAACTAGCCAGGTATGGTAGCGCGCACGCCTGTAGTTCCAGCTACTTGGAAGGCTGAGGCGGAAGGATTGCTGGAGTCCAGCGGGTTGAGGCTGAGGGGGCCGGGAGCGTGCCACTGCACTCGTCTGGGTGACAGAGTGAGACTCCAACTCAAAAAAAAAAAAATCAGTATTATGAGTAGGGTGGTTCAAATAAATACTAAAAATATGCTCCCCATCACCATTCTATATGATGATGCAAAGCAAAAACCAATGCAAAAAAATAGTAAAAATATGAAACAGAATATAATATTAGCTCATCAACTTATATAATAAACAAAGCGAAGGAGCAAGATATAAATGGCAGAAAACTGCCCTTGGCAGGCAAAAGTAGAAAAGGCTTTAAGAAAATGATAAAGATGAATTTAAATATAACTAGCTCTCACCATATGGTCTGTGAGACAAAATAGCCTATTTAATTTTTTTTTTTTTTTGAGTTGGAGTCTCACTCTGTCGCCCAGACTGCAGTGCAGTGGCCGCTCCCAGT